ATAACATTATTTTCATAACTTAGACGCTTTAAAAAATCCAAAGCAGAGCCAGAGTTTATACAGCAATGGTTATAGAATATTTTTTTTCTATAATGATTGACATAGTTTTAGAATAAATAATCCATGATAGAAGGTTAGATTAAAATAAGCCTACCCCATTAGTTATGGAAAATATTATATTTAATTTCTTTGAATCAGCTGTCTGAAATTGTGAAATATGCAGTTTAGCAGTTCTTTTTGTTTACATTTACATGTCAAAGCAAATGTAATAAAACATTGTTAGAGTTATCATCGCAGCCATGGAGACCAATCAATATTTACTTTTAAAATGTTCACCTCAGAACTTTTAAAGCCAAAGGGGCAAAGCCTACGGTCAGTATCGAAATGTGATTAGTCCTATAATGGTTCTTGGTATGATAGCTATATTTTTGTAAAATTTAAGCCCAGTTGGTTCAGTAGTTTTTGCACCTATTAGTAATACACATACAGACAGACACCATTAGATTTTTATGGATTATTTCCTAGATTGGTCAATGTGACATTTATTGTATACATATTTTCATTATTATTGTTATTCAACCAACTTGTGTATTTACTTCTCGTTACTCTTAGTTCTTTCTTTGTCCAAGTATTTGCATGTACTGTATTCTTATTATTGTTACTTTTGATATTCGTTTTATTTATAGGCTATTTAGTCATATTGAGCAATTCACAACTTGTAATCCAACTGTAAAATTCGTGTGAATCCGTTGGCAAATATATAAATAAGTAAATAAATACAAAGGCCACAAAAAATTGATACGTTAACAACGTAAAGCTTTAAAAATTCATAATGGCTTGTTCAAAAAAATCTTTCACTTAATGTTTTATCTTTTTCATAGTAAAAACTAACATTTTGGAGTCCATACAGAATGACACAATGACAGACAGACAGACAGACAGACAGACAGAAATTGAGAAGACTCGTTTCGGCTTTCTTAGGCTATGAAACGTAACATAATTGCGTAGAATCATGCAGTGTTTGGTTAATTATTAACCAAACACTGCATGATTCTACGCAATGTACAGACAAAACTGTAATTTTATTTATATAGATTATCAAAAATTTAAATTGTTTGGTCGTAAATCTTCCGAATTCCTATTTGTGGAAACAAAGCATCTTGGAAAGTTTGGCTAAAATAAGTTAAGCCATTTTCAGTGATTTGTGTTTTTGTTTTGTGTCTATGGAAGTTTGTATTGAAGCCGATCCCAACGAGCTTCGCTTCGCTCCTCTCTATTACAGTACTACAGACTGAATAAAATTTATTGCCAAAACTTTTATTGCTGAAATGGGGTAGAATATATGCAGAAGATAGTCAGGTTTGCCCCTTATACAACTAAAAATTATTATATTTCAGCTATTTTTTATTTGATCTTTTTGAACTTGGTTTCGTTTGATAGATAATTAAAAATGCCAAAGGATAATTAAAATAATACTAATTAAAATAATAGATAATTAAAATTGTACTTGGAATATTTTCAAAAAACCAGCCAGTTTTGAGTAATTTAAGCTTAAATGTTTTAATAGCCATCATTTTGAAATTGTAGTTTGAATCTAGATGAACTTTTTTTCTAACACGGGTCTTTTCTACCTTAACATGCATACCAAGATTCATAAAAATCAGTAAAAAACATTAAAATATAAAAAAGTGTATGTCAAAAATACAAAATGGCGGATATTTGGGCAACGAAGCAATTTTGGGAAAAAATATTCTTGATTTTCTCTTTATTTTTACCCAAGGAATCGCTAGGTAAAATATGTCCCCCGCCTTTTTTGAACACTATGTTTAATGTATTATTTATTGCTAAACTTCGTCGCAAATGTGATTAAAATAATCACACAATGAAAAATAAATGCTGTCCGCAGGCAGATGGATGCACTGGTAGTCGTAGGGAGTACGGTATCGGTGAACCGCGCGAGTTGTGGAGGAGGAATGATAGACGAGAATTTGGCGTTGAGTTGAACTGCTAGTGCTACAATTAATTGCAAGCCAGCGACCGCCGACCATGCCGGCGACTGGCGAGGCGAGCGCGAGATTGCGTGTTTCCTCGATTCTCCGCTAGAGGCAGGATGTGACGGGGCCCTACGCATCGCGCAGTGATACGTCTGGGTTTCCATTGTCTGTGATTTATAGTGTGATTGTTGACGGAAAGCGGCTGGCTGAAGGGTCGACCCTACTCACACACACGCAGGCCTCACACACACAGACGCAAGGGATTAGGACGGACGTGGGACGGACCATTGTTCTGCCACTCGAGTCATCGCTGGCTCACGGAAATAAAATTATCAATTTTTTTAAATTTTACGTTTGTTATAAAATCTGGTAACGCTTTTGACTTCAGCTCAAAATGCTTAGTAAAATGATACCAAACAATATATATTTTGCTTACAAAGTGTAAAAGCTACGAATATTTTAACACGTTTTTATTAGCTAGCTACTTGTCATAATCATTTCGTGTTTGGACTCATTTTTCATTGAATTAAACAACAAATTTATTAACACTAACCATTTTAAAGTATATCTAACATCAAATGAATTGCAATTTTGAGGTATCATACAACAGATGTTATATTTGTACTTAGTGAATAGGGGATCGGGGCTTTCAGGCAATTAGGAAGGTGGTGAGTGTGCGTGCGTGAGTCTGGTCCCTCGCAGGTAGGGCTGAGCTCCAGCCGCACTCCGGTAAAAATCAGACTATAGGTGTGTGAACTCTATAATAAATATATAACACATTGTTGACGTTTATTAATAAAATCAAGATTTATAATCGGTATACTACATCAATGAGCAATGGTCATGTAACAATGAGTTTAGGCTACATTGCTATGTTTAACAATCGTCTCTTTGTATAGCCCAATCTTGTCAGCATACAGCACGAGATACACATACCTATACATTCTACAGTTTATTATACTGTTTTAAGACAAATATGTTATTGACACGCCCTGGTTTTTTTTTTTTTTTTTTTGTTACAGTAATTATCAGTAGACGTTGCCGTGGCGCTGCTCTGGCATATCGACGTTCCTGTGCTTGGCACGGGGCTTGACGTACCATCAGAGGTGTGGCAGTTTGTAGAGGTGGATCACAGTGTAAATTTATCTTGATGTTTTAAATTGTATTAATATGTTTTATTTTATTTTTTATGTAACTTTCATGACGCTATGACTGGACAGTGTTTCTTCGATCTTTAAGATTCATTGTCACAAGTCTGATAGCAGTAAGTACAGTATAAATGCTGTTATTTAGATGTAGTTTACTTGTCCACATTAGATGCGTGTTTTACTGTGTATTTATAGTCATTAGCTTGATCGACCAATCAATAATGTTGAAATGTCAATGCCAATGTCATTGATGACGTTGGTCTATAATCCATACACAGTGGATGGCTGTTGTTTGTTTGTTACCTGATTTTAACAAATTTTGGAAAGGTTAGCGTCTTGACTATTATAAAATTATCAACTCCATATTTACTATTTAATTTAGATTATATACGTGACGTTCGTTAAAATATAGTGTAAATATTCAACCATTAATTTGTGTAGTAACATTACAATACTTTATGTGTTCAATCTGATTTTTTTTATCATAAAAAATTCATGCAATCAGACCTTTTCTGGGATAAAAAGTAGAGAGCGTTTATAACTAACTCATAGAACAAACTCCGGAAAAGTTCTAATGAAGTTTCCTTACATTGTGTACAAGTTACATAAAAGTAAAATTTTAATTTGATACTTTGAAATTAGAAATGGAAAACCCTAAAATAAAACTGTTAATCTTAAAAAAAGTTCCTTCATGCTCCCATTCAATTCCACGTCCTTTAATTTAGAATCAAACAACGACTCCAGCGTTCGTTCTCTCCCTTATTCCATCGTCTCTGCTAGGCATGCAAAGTATCCACATCAGTTTGAATGAGTGAATGAATAAAGTGCTTTATTTTACAAATAAACATTCCTTTCAGAACAATATACATAGGCCAACACTTAACTAAACAATTGTCTACGACCATCTGTTAGTTGGTAAACCTGAATGTCAAAACGACAACATATTTCTCTGAAACAACGATAAAACAAATTACTAGCACATATACAATTTAAATACCCAACTACATTCATTTCATACAAAGCGACAAAAACACATAATGGCTTCCATAACAATTATTTTATTTATTTACTTTTTTATCAATGGATACCACAGCCGCGTGATCTCCGGCGGGTGTCTATGGGCATGGCGAGATTTACATCTCTACATTCATCTAATCACGCTGTTGGGAGAGAAAATAAAGAGATTAGGCTCACCATCGAGCTTGAATATATCCCTTGTGAAATCCAAAGAGGTCTCCATTTCAGAGGTCGAGATTAAATATTTACTACGGATATTAGAACGCACATTGGTAGTTTCATCCACTCTCTGCCTCGTCATCTCATTAAGTAGCAGAGCCTCACCATAGTCTATTATACGGATGAGCCGTACTTAGTACCAGAACTAATTCAAAGGAATGGCCAATGAAAATCGTGGCGAACTCTGGGCGTGAATTTTCATCGTATCGTCCAAAGAATGCCATCGCACGTCTTTCTTAACTTAAGGTATCAGAACAACTTGGCTTGTGTGTTTGGGGAGACTAACTCAATTTTGTTAACTTGCCGGAATAGTGCAAAAGCCACTTCTCCTATCTTCTCTGCTCCCAGGCGTTTCTTATCTTTTTTACGCCTGAAATACAGGACAACTTCAACATCACCACTTCTACCATGGACCGAGTGCTCTTACCCCGCGATTATTAGCAGTGAGAATGCTAGTCTTATTTGGCTATTACTTTGTATTTTCTGATGTACAGGGAGACGTCACCGCCGCCACCATGGGTTGAGTACCCTGACCCCGACGGCCAGGAGTGGGCTTGGAGGCGGCACAGACTGTTGGCAGTGAGAATGCTAGTCTTGTTTGACTATTACTTTGTATTTTCTGATGTACAGGGAGACGTCACCGCCGCCACCATGGGTTGAGTACCCTGACCCCGACGGCCAGGAGTGGGCTTGGAGGCGGCACAGACTGTTGGCAGTGAGAATGCTAGTCTTGTTTGACTATTACTTTGTATTTTCTGATGTACAGGGAGACGTCACCGCCGCCACCATGGGTTGAGTACCCTGACCCCGAGGGCCGGGGGTGGGCTTGGAGGCGGCACAGACTGTTGGCAGTGAGAATGCTAGTCTTATTTGGCTATTACTTTGTATTTTCTGATGTACAGGGAGACGTCACCGCCGCCACCATGGGTTGAGTACCCTGACCCCGAGGGCCGGGGGTGGGCTTGGAGGCGGCACAGACTGTTGGCAGTGAGAATGCTAGTCTTGTTTGCCTATTACTTTGTATTTTCTGATGTACAGGGAGACGTCACCGCCGCCACCATGGGTTGAGTACCCTGACCCCGAGGGCCGGGGGTGGGCTTGGAGGCGGCACAGACTGTTGGCAGTGAGAATGCTAGTCTTGTTTGCCTATTACTTTGTATTTTCTGATGTACAGGGAGACGTCACCGCCGCCACCATGGGTTGAGTACCCTGACCCCGACGGCCGGGGGTGGGCTTGGAGGCGGCACAGACTGTTGGTAGTGAGAATGCTAGTCTTGTTTGCCTATTACTTTGTATTTTCTGATGTACAGGGAGACGTCACCGCCGCCACCATGGGTTGAGTACCCTGACCCCGAGGGCCGGGGGTGGGCTTGGAGGCGGCACAGACTGTTGGCAGTGAGAATGCTAGTCTTGTTTGCCTATTACTTTGTATTTTCTGATGTACAGGGAGACGTCACCGCCGCCACCATGGGTTGAGTACCCTGACCCCGACGGCCGGGGGTGGGCTTGGAGGCGGCACAGACTGTTGGTAGTGAGAATGCTAGTCTTGTTTGCCTATTACTTTGTATTTTCTGATGTACAGGGAGACGTCACCGCCGCCACCATGGGTTGAGTACCCTGACCCCGACGGCCGGGGGTGGGCTTGGAGGCGGCACAGACTGTTGGCAGTGAGAATGCTAGTCTTGTTTGCCTATTACTTTGTATTTTCTGATGTACAGGGAGACGTCACCGCCGCCACCATGGGTTGAGTACCCTGACCCCGACGGCCGGGGGTGGGCTTGGAGGCGGCACAGACTGTTGGCAGTGGCAGTGGCAATCATACCGCTGCTCTCGGCCGCGCTTTCTTGTGCTGGTAACAATATATTTATTAACTTGTTATTGGATTGAAATAATAATTGTGCAATTCACAAATTATGATACGAGTTAACAATATACCTGTTGGCCTAAAACTTATAAATCGACTACATTAAACCTAAGTACCTAGACTAAACTATTACGTACCTCGTCTTGCAATTCAAATATAGTGTTTTTTTATTTCATTTTTTTTTTAATTTTATTTTTTTAAAGATGTTGGTGGCCTCTTTTAACCTTACATTTGCCCGTCCACATAGACTACAGATCTGTGCGTGGAACGTATCCAGCAAAGCAAGGGGTGAGCCGGTACAGTACAAAGGTGAACTGTACTGAAAAAAATGTTTGCGGCAGTGACCAGGATCCGAACCCAAGTCATCGCTGCCTTGGGCCATGCTTACGCCCGAAGTCCGTGACTCTACCAACTGAGCCACCGACTCAGCTAGTTTGAAGTCCACTACATATTTATATTTGACAAACCCTTCAAAATGAGGGGTCACTCAATAGGGGTTGCTATTTGAAAAAATGTCACCCACTACCCCCTACCCTGTTAGGGGGAGGGGTTTAAACATTTTGTTATGTAAAAAATGCGGAACCTTTGTTAACAATCGGAACCTTTGTTGCCACAATTGTTATCTATTTCGTTGTAAAAAATACAGATTTGTTTCGATACTTGATTTACACTCTGTATAAGAGAGTTACAGTTATTTGTTAATAATTTTCAAATATTGATCAGTACTTGTATCTATATATATAAAAGGCAAAGCCCTCACTGACTGACTGACTGACTGACTGACTGACTGACTCACTCACTCACTCATCACTAATTCTCCCACTTCCCATTTACCTAGGAGGCTGAAATTTGGTACACTGATTCTTTAGGCATTAAATAGGAAAACTAAGTAGTTTTTATTCTGATCGGACACTCGGGCTCCGCCCCAGTGGCTCTGGAGTTTCCCATGTTAACCTTATGAGTACTCATATTTAAATGGAATTAATGAATCTTAACAGCTGTTTCAATTAAACAAGTTGGTTCTGTTCTATGATGTACAATAGCATTAAAGTTACAAGGATTACCAACAGGGTGCAGCACTATTATTTTTTTTAATTTATGACAGCTAATTTGCAACCAAAAGGTGAGTGAGCGTAGCGAACGAACTTCAACCTGGAGGCGAGTTAGCGTAGCGAACGAGCTAACCTGAAGGCAAGTGAGCGCAGCGAACGAGCTCCAACCTAAAAGTGAGTGAGAGTAGCGAACGAACTTCAACCAGGACGTGATTGAACCATGCGAACGAGCTTATCTTGAAAATTAAGAAGTTAAACGGGGCAAAGCCCGCGGGTACAGCTAGTTTTTGTATAAAAGATACGTTTTTTCGTATAGCTATTGTAGGCTACTCAGTTAGATTGTTCGTTAATTTCCTCCAGTCCCCACCGCGGCAGATCACCTATTTACGAAGAACTGACAATCTGACGCTCCAATATGGGCGCACAAGGTCCCTCCCATGACTGTGCGAAAAGAGCCCGGGCTCTTCCTAGAACTCTCACAACGAGTCTTCAAAGGAGAAAGAGCCAATAACACATTACATGAATTTATTTACAATATTAAAAGATTCACTGTTAAAATATACGTTATTAAAATTTAGATTATTAAAAGATATTTACATTACTAAAATATATAGTCTGTTTACCTAGCCTAACCTAACTTAACCCAACCTAACCTAGATTAACCTAACCTAACCCAACCAAACACAACACTATTTCAGAACAGGAGTCAGCGTCCTCCTCCTCAGTTAACTGTGGAGACCCGGGCTCTTTCCATGCTTAAGATAAGCTAAGATTCCATGCTTAGTGGACCTTTTTGGGGATTAAAATTTCGGGCTCTTTTCATGTGCTCCGTCCAATATTATCTGAAAGGGTTCAAAAACAAAAACTTGAATTGGTAGTCCCCATAATCTGTTGAAACAGCGTAATGATTTGTATTATCAGCGATTAATGAATTGCTTGTGCGTGGCTTTGGTTAGGTGTGCTGTTCAGTCTCCATGACTCCAGCAACAACACACATTGCCCAATCGATGTCACTCGTCACTACATTACATAACATTGACACTGTGCACCTTGTAATGTTGTTGTCTTAAGTAGTAAAAATGCATTTATGGGAGCCCAAATCCCATCAAATTCCAAAATAACATTAAATAATAAAATTCCAGTTTTCCCAATTCATTTAATCGAATTCTTCGTGATAATCAACAATCCTTCCAAAATCACAGTAATTAATAGTCCCTAGATATGATATGCTGACAGGCATACGACACATATATACGATTTAGCATACATCTTTACCTCTGCTACAGCGGTAGGGACTAATCTGGTATTTAGAGGACGGGACTTCTATGCCAATTAGTCGCCTGGGGAAACGGAGCGAGTGCCGTTCTATTATTTGCCTTGGCGATTATAAACTGTCAAAACCGTCAACACAACAGACATGTTGACACATGACATGAGATACGTTGCTCACAGACATGTGAGTGTTTTTTATGTCGGGTCAGATAGACCCGAGTGCCGTTTGACTCCCCAGAGCGTAAGAATGATTCAGGGGATGGGTATTAGTGGAAGGGATTGTAGTAGGCAGGATGTAATGGAGACCAGATACAGTTCATAGAACAGTATTAACAGTTTCCTAACTGGGCTACCCTAATACCTGGGCACCAACACAACCTGAGAAACACCATGCAGTACAACCTTCCACAACATCGCACGGCACCGTTTGGAATGAAACCTTCATACGCAGGAATGAAAATATCCAACCGGCTACCTCCAGATCTAAGAAGCAAGACAGAAGATGACCTCAAACCAGCTTTGCATCAATGGCTCATAGATTAATCGACCTTTCTACTCCTTAAATGAATACTATCAACAGATCTTTGACTAAACAACACCTCAACCACACATTTGTAATGACAGTTTGCTGATATTATTTCGAGACCCAGAGATTATAATCCCACCTTAATATGTACCTTTTAAATGCAAAAAGATAAATATTAACAAGGTGAAGAAACTGCTCCTTATTGAAAATATCTTCCTCGAAGAAGCCCGTTATGATAACGTTTACCACAGCTTGTTAAGTGGTTACGCCCTATTTCAAACTCATATCTTTAGGTTGAAACATATTGTGTATTTAGTGTAGTTTGGGATAAAACATTATAGTCCAAAAGATTACAGGACTTCATAATGGGGCCGTTCCGGAGTTTAATGATGTTTCAAAACATTAATACAAACCTGCGCGTAATAAAGTACTGTAATACTGTAAATATAAAATTTTAGTCCAGTCGTTAAGTAGTGGAGGCTGTAATGTTAAACAAACGCCCTCTCCAGCTGTAAGTAGTAGTACAATGTTGTAGTGGAATGTAGTGGTCGTGTAGGGTGGTTCCCACCCTCTCATCCTACAGTCGTGGGGTAGCAGCGCTCCGGGACGGACATGAGGCGATGGCGATGCCGGCGCCCGTGACGTGGGTCTGGGAGAGGTTCAGGAACTCCTTCAGAGGCCTTCACCCCCACGATGGCGATGTCGACCTACCGGGTGACGATGACTACGCCATTGTAAGTCTCGTTGTATATTTCGGTGTTGTGTTTTTTATGTCTTTGACGGATATGCATTTCGTCGGATTTTGAAGTGTCTCAAATAGATACTAATTATTTTATAAAAGTCCTGGAATCTGGAGATTATAACGCACATCCCATCTTTTTGAAGAAGTTCAATATTGTTAATAATCCACATTTAAATTGATTTAAAAAAATTAAAACTGTTCACTTTTATAGAGTAGACAGAGCAGTCAATTTATCTTTGAGTTAGGTACGATCATGGTACGATTGAGGTGAAGTAAACACTGTAGAAATAACACCGATATATCAGATCAGATGAGCAGGACAGTCTTTTCCCGGTGTTTATGATCCATCGCACAGGTACAACTGGTACAAACGTAAAGCTTATGGGGATCAAACATTAAACAAATACGTTTTTATATATTTTTATGTAGGCCTATTACAGTTTTTCAAGTGTACTTGTACTTAAAAAATGGCAGCCATTTTAATTTTTCTAATTTTAATTACTAATACCCTACAAACATGCAGACTGAGCGAATTTCCATTTACCTGGCTGGATTTCCACTAAAATCTTAGCCTATGCAGTGTGTTTGAAAATTCCCAGAACGGTGTAATATATTTTTTACCATTATAGATAAAGTAATGAGACTTGTTGTATCAATAATGACAATGAATGTCTACTTAGGGCTATTATCAATTTTTATCTCATGGGGCAGCCCACAAGGAGTAAGACAAACCTCTTAACAGCTTAGGTCGAGTTTGGTATAAAATAAACGGTCTTAGTTAGTAGCACATTGGAGCAAACCCGAACTCAAACGGACAGCCGAGTCAAAAATAAAGCAGCATTGTTTACTAGCATTATCGGACCATGGGAACGGGGTTTTACGGGGGGTTTTATGGGGTAAAAAATTGTTTTTATAATTTTTGACCCTCAAAAGACAAAATTTCCTAATTTCTATCTAGAAATTCGTAAAGAGCTTCAAAATAAATAATTTAGTATATCAAAGTGTTTTATACGATTATTGGTAACGGAGAAATTAAAATATATATATATAAATTAAAAATTCTCATGTTATTTTTATGGAGAATTTTGTAAAATATTGTAGTTTGCTTGTTTATAGATATATTTTTATCAAACTTGGCAAATTTTGTTCATTATACCAAGCTATTAAAATTGTATTTAAATTCACCTAATTTAAATTAATTTAATGTAGATTTAATTTAAAATCAATTTAGATAAATGGAAATTCGCTTAGTCGGCAGGTTTGCTGCGGCGGTGGTATTTAAAAAGTCTAGCAGCCGACGCTAACATTTTAAAGTCGTTTCAGTGCTGGTTTAACTAATAGCTGGTTCCAAACTGTCATTGGAATGGTTATTTTACAAGTTATTTGTTTACAAACATATTAATCGTCAGTGTTTGCCAACAAAATATTTTACTTTAAAATTTATTTTTTCCCTACCGTAAAGGGTCTGCGTTATCAGAAAATGTGTAATTTTTTAAACTATATATCTCAAACTCTTGTTTGTAATAAAGTTATTCGTAAATGCAATCTGTGTAAGTAAGTTTATGCCATGACGAATTTTACTCACTTTTGGAAATATATATATATTCAGAAACTATCGTTTAAGCGTTTAAGATACAAGTGGTTTAGGAGTTAATACTCTTTCTACGAAGTTCGAATGTGTGTATGTCGGCATACATACCAAAATTTTGGTTGGTAATGATAATGCCAAGTGCCAGTCTGCCAGTGTAGTAGGTTCTAGAAAACTGTCCCATAAGTTTAGGGTGCCAGTAGAAACCTAAATCGATTCAAAAGTGTACTAAACACTTTTTTTCATAAAATCAACAGTTTTTTATCATTTAAGTTGTAAAAATTAAAATGTCCGCCATTTTGAATTTTTTGTTAGGAAAAATGGTTATTTTTTCCAATAAACGCCTCTTCTTCTTTCTTCTTTTTCTTAATATACATACCAAGTTTCATAAAGATCGGTTGGAGAAATTCAAAGATACTAAATGTTTTTCTAAAACATACAAAATAGCTGATATCTGCTTAACGAAGGGATTTTGGTAGAGAATACATTCTTGGGTTTTTCCATTATCCATAGATACATTTTCAAGGGGCTATATTATTTATATAATATTTAATCCATATATATAATCAGTGAAGGCGATTTCTACGAAACACTACTCCTCCGTTAATAATGAACGGATTTTTACAAACGACGTGTCAAAATAAAGTATTTTTTGTGTAGACGCCCCCTTTCACCAATTCCTGTAATAAAAGTCCTCGGACTTTGCCCCACAGGCCATCGAAATCCCAATGTATTTCTTATGAAGAAAAGGAGGGCGTTGGAGTCAGATTTAAAATCTTCGCTGACACTAACGATGCCAGGAGAGCGCAGGCAAACCAGTGGCAATTTCCCATTGAAACGTGCGGAACATGCCTTCACTTAAAAGCATATTTTTTTGTTACTGTTTGACTTAATGATTTGAAATATATTTTATTTTAATCTTAATAACATTTCGGATCATGTTTGCGGAATAGTTTCTTCTATAACGTCCTAGCAAAGCTAAAATAAATTGATGAATATATAGGTTTTACATTCTATATTCCTAGAAATCCCTTTACTTTTGTTAAAAAGTCTCCCGCAATAATGATGTGTATCAAATATGCCTTTAATTTAAAACATAGTTCATAATTTTATATTGGCAAATAAGTGAGATATCTGGGTTTAAGTTTAACATTGTTCTTATGGAGGTAAAAATCCAACATGGCCGCACTCCAACGCCCTCTTAAAAATAATTTCTAGCTGTTATAGTAAACACATGATACACACAGTATCAGTATTCGTTTTCAGAGTGAGTTCGTTTTCAGTTTCGATAACTGGTGTGGAGTGATTGATTACATTATCTTGGAGTTGACTCTCTTAGATAGGAAATTATGACTGTTAGGGTTATTCGTTTTGAAATAACACCTATAATACTTTGCAATGGCTCGAATTCGAGCAACATGTGCACTAGTATATTATAGTATATAATGTTTTTTTTTACCTAAGGAACATATTATCTAAAGAGTTATTCTGCAACAGGATATAGGGCCCGAATTGAAAAGCGTTGTGCCTGTTGATGCAAGAATTCCACTCTCACCAAGATGTTCATTACACCACAATAGAACCATGTCCAATCTTTTTCTTCTATTTATAGAAGGCAAATACCACTGACTGACTTATGTTATGGTCACCATATCTCACAAAATATACGACATGAAATCATCAAATAGGTCATATTGGGTCACTATACGGGTTATATGTGCAATAAGACGGGGTTTTACAAAATTTTAATTTTAAAGAGGTTAACGGTGGTAAAATTTTATTTCCGGTGAAATTTGACTATGCGAACCACTATTTTTTGGCTTACATGCATTGTTATTAAATCAACGTATCTAATAAAGGACGATGAGATATATTTTAAAAGGAACATGACCGTTTTTTCTAATTGATTTAAAACACACTGCATGTATTGTATACACAGTGCACCTGTTTTCATGTGCTCTAGTCTTTGCATACCTATGTTTTTTATAAACTTCAGTATTTTATTTTTAAGATGACTGTGATAGTTTGCATGTATACACTGCACTTGTTTATAATTAAATGACGTTCATCCATTGCATGTATTGTACATAGCGTTAACGATGAATAAAGATTCTTGATTCTTGATTGATTCTGTCATGACAGTAGCTGCTTAAATGGTAATTACTCTTTGTGCCATTTTTTTACAGTCTAAGTGTAGTGTTATTTAAAAAAAACTCACGCACAGGTGGGTCACGGTCAGTAATAGGCCACTGCAAATCATCTGTGAAGATAGGTACCATTTTAGACAAGGTTTCTCTGTTTGGATGTTATTAGACACGATAAGAGCACAATGAACTTCTTCTGCAGAAGAATAATCCGTTGGTTAATAGAAATAAGCCGAATTGTAAATGACACAATCCAAGCGCATTAAAATGGCTCTTGCAGTAATTTGTGTAATTGCTATTCATGGATGGGTTTGCGAAAAACAGCACAAACTTCCGTCATACTTTTAGCTAGTCACCTTTACTTTAATAACATAGGGATTATAAATTTGCAAATCAGATGTATTAAGTGGTGATACCAACACGTTTGTATTACAGCGGCCGTCCCAACAGATGGTGGCGACCAAGTCGCGGCTGGAGGACGAGGTAGCGACGTGCGCCGCCTGCAAGGTGACCATACACCAACATGGAGGCGGCGGTGGCGGGGGCGGTGGGGGCGGCGCTAGGCTGAGCGCCGTGTGTCCCTTCTGTGGTCAACCCTACACCCCCGCACGACTGGACGGTGGCGTGGCGGCGGGTGTAGGCGCCGGGAGGGTCCGGTCACATCGCTCCACCACCGACCCCGTAGTCAACAATCTAAGGCTTCCCCCAATCGTAAGTAACAGATGGACTTTCTTCATAAATAGTGCCTCCTAAGCTTTATGATGAAACACATGCGTAGTTTAGATTGTTGTGGATGTAAGCTTTCGACGGCATGTTGCAGGAGACCGACGACGGTCTAGGGTGTAGGCGACTGAGCAGCATCATGGTCAGCAGGCTAGGCACTATGGACATAGCAGAGCTACTGCTGAGGCCAGGATCCGAGACATCTCTGCCTCCCATACACAAGGTGAGGGCAATGTTAATGGTGTTAAATATATACTGCATCCACACATCGCAGTGGGTCGAGGTCTCAGTCAGGTAGCACGACAGCTACGTCTTGGATGTCCCGGTTCCGCCATTAATATTTATTAGTAGAGTAGTAGATTGAGTGAGTTTATTGTTGTACTGAATCAACCACTCCTTGTTTTGTTTTATACGTTTCATGCATAAGCCAGAAGCCTTTCACAGTTATAAGAAGCAACCAACATCTTATAAAAACAAAGTAAAACACTAGGCAAATTAACTTTCGAGCGACTATTACTATATAACTAAAAGAATTATATTACAATCAAGAAAAGGCACTGTTTACACCCCTCGCAGCAAACCTACGGTATTAGGTGAATCATGGTAAAACCTGGACCCCGGACCGATTTACTTTTTTGTTTTGATGTCCCCAGTGGCCAAAAGCTCTATCCGTTCAAAATGTGAACACAAATAACAGAGAAAAATAAAACTTTCTGAAGTTAAAACTAAAAATTTTGGGCAAATTCAATAAATTAGCAGGTATTAACTTTATAGAAATGAAATTTTCTCCGATATTTCTCTTATGACCCTATAAAAAGTGTACATTTATGTAAATTGAATGAAATTTCCATCCTTTTTGTCATTTGTAACTTTTTTATAAACCCAATGGTTTTTGAGTTATTAATCTTTGAAAGATTAAAATTACCGCCATTTTGAAATTATACTACGTAGAAACTTGATGCTTTGCAAATGAATAGTGCCTGTTAGTCATCATACACGTACAAAGTTTGAAGTTGGGACCTCAAGTGGTTCCAAAGTTATGGGAAGTTATGTAAAAATACATATACACACCGACAGACGGCAAACGAAGCTAGATAGGGTATACGAGTATGTTTATATTATATTTTTCGTCATACTGCAGCAAAAACCGCAGTTTTTAATGCATGCGTTGCGGGTCTAAAGTAACCTTAGTCACTAACAAGACTACAAGATCGCGCCACTCATCCTACACTCATCTTCTTTCATACTTGGCTTAAAATACCTACTTTGTATGGTCGCCATTTCATAAGAAAGTATTAAAGTACTGTATTAAAGCATTTTTACTCCCTTAGGGAGTAAAATCCTTTTTAGTCTCGAGAGAGTAAAAATCCTTTTTAGTCTCTAGAGAGTAAAAATCCTTTTTAGTCTCTAGAGAGTAAAAATCTGCTATTATAAACAGTTGTTCGTTAATTTCGATTGTGGTAATCGTATCAATCGAAATTATTTATCGATTAATTAATATACACAGTGATCAACTCAAGGAGGCCACCATTGGGATATCGGAAACGGTAAGAATTAGAGAAAACTTTAAATGGGGGACATTCCTTTATTTTTTGTGGAAGTTAAAAATATGATTTTAGTTTTTCAAAATTCAGCCGCCATTTTAGAAAATGGCGGCCAACTTTGAAATTTCTTATGGAACACCCTGTATTTTATCATTTTTTCGGGTAGAACATGCAATTTAAAAACTTTTTTATTCTTGAAATTTTTTCGATAAACCCACTCGTTTAGGAGTTACAGCCTATGGAAAAATGACTTCCGGTGTACATTTTACATCATGTAGCTCCAAAAAAAGTAGGTTTATATGGAAAATGCGAAGAGAAAATAAGTCAAATAAGTCTTAAAATTGCATCCACATTCCAAAAAGTCCATAAAATTCGTTAAAAATATTAATTCTATTATTCAAAAATGGCGGCCATTTTCCAAAATGGCGGCAAACTTGAAAAGTGGAAAACTGTGTATTTTATCGTCTTAATGGAATGTGGATGCAATTTTAAGACTTATTTTCTCTTCGCATTTTCGATGTAAACCTACTTTTTTTGGAGCTACATGATGTAAAATGTACACCGGAAGTCATTTTTCCATAGGCTGTAACTCCTAAACGAGTGGGTTTATCGAAAAAATTTCAAGAATAAAAAAGTTTTTAAATTGCATGTTCTACCCGAAAAAATGATAAAATACAGGGTGTTCCATAAGAAATTTCAAAGTTGGCCGCCATTTTGGAAAATGGCGGCTGAATTTTGAAAAACTAAAATCATATTTTTAACTTCCACAAAAAATAAAGGAATGTCCCCCATTTAAAGTTTTCTCTAATTCTTACCATTTCCGATATCCCAATGGTGGCCTCCTTGAGTTGATCACCCTGTATAAGGTTTCAGCCTATTGTTGTCGATTGCTAAAAATATCGATGGTATAATGTACTGTAACACAATCGTGATAGACGAAATGATTAAATCACTTACTAAACAGCTGATTATTTGCATTAGCAGAATTGAATACAAGCTGGAAGTCGTTTTGATAGGTTATCTTTAAATAAAAATTATTTCGTTTTCTAGCTTTGTTTGTTAATTAATTATTCAACATGACGAAAAATATAGTTCACCACACGGGCAAAAAGTGAATTTTTAACCCTCGCTCATTTTCTGACCTCGGCTTCGCCTCGATCGTAAAACTTAACCTCGGGTCAACAAGAGTCACTTTAGGCCCTAGGGATGAAATTAATATACTATTTTGTTTGTTTTGACCTAAGGAACATGACCACGGACACGGAGTTTCGGGAGAGAGTTTCGAAACACCCTATATATATAAGATTTATATGAGATAACTTGTGTAATTTTTGAAGGTTTTTTGTGGTAAAAAGGGGGTTTTCTCGTTTTTGAACCTCAAAACACAAAACTTCCTAATGCCTCTCTAGATAATTTTAAAGAGCTTAAAAACAAATAATTTAGTATATTTAAGTGTTTTGTATGGTTATTGGTTGCAGAGGAAATTAAAAAATATATAAATTTAAAATTCCCATGTTATTCTTATGGAGAATATTGTAAACTGTTGTAATTTGCTTGTTTATGGATATAACATTTAATCAAACTTGGAAAACTTTTTTATTTTGTTAATATTTTACTAAAAACACTTTATTTAGACTCAACCTAGGTTTGAAGCAGCAAACCTAGTTACTTGTTCAACCTAATGTTATAAATAGATTTATTTGAAAATCAAATTTAGGCAAATGGAAATTCGTTTAGTCTGCAGGTTTGCTGTGGGGGGGGGACTTATTCCCTATATGGGAAAATTCGCTAATAATACCAACAATAAAGGACACTGTTTAGGACATACCTCGCAGCAAACCTGCCTAATAGTATTTTTTTAGTTCAAACAGAATTAATTAATCTTTGGTTATGATTAATTCTCTATGGTGGAATTTTCTCCGTAAGCTGCACGTCTTGTTATAGCTTAGTTCTTTACTCTCTGTTTACACGATTATTTATTTTTCGGTTTAATAAGCTATCGATTAGCTATTAGATATAGGTGCATTGTTTACGGTTTTGTTTTTGGTTAACAGTGGAACAACTAAAATCATAGCCACACCTAAGGATATTAGAACAACATAATTAACATCGATTAAGCGTACTTACTGTTGTGTTTATATATAATAGGAAATATGAATTAACTTACTGTACCTACGCAGTATTCTCAAGTCATTGTAAGAAATTAAAATCAGTAAATAATAAACTTTGGGAATTCTTTTTCTCTAGACCTTCGGCCTTCCTCTTTCACACATACACGATCTCGGATCATCGATTCATGTGACCAAATCGTGCATACAAAATTGTTTGTCCATCATCCATAGATGAGATGATTTTCGGTAGAACCGTGGCTTGAATGAAATCAAGTCACGTACTTTTCCCCCAACTTCAGAGTATAGAGAGAGTTCTCTTTGTTCTGAGTTCTTTTGCTTGTTTTCAGCCAAGCATTGATCAATTATAACCTGTAAACCCAATCATTGCGGTTATATCGTGATTGCCGACTCAGCTGTAGTTGTACTACATTCTGGCCGTTGATAGTTGATTGATTCTCCAGAGTATCTTGCACCTTGACATTGATTTATTAGACACTCCATTACTATGTTGAAGTAAATCCCTCAAAATGAATGAGTTGAGTGTGCTGGTGTTAAATACTGATTTCTGTACTTAACCGAAACTTTTCAACCAAGCAAATTTAAAGAAAACTTCTCATTACCATAGCATCTTTTAAAATACTCCAACTAATTAACGAAAACGAAGAAATAATATACTTAAAGTAGATCACTGAGTGAGCTGCCCAGGTTTATACTATCGTAGTTTCGCCGGCTTGACGCAGTGTGCTGTAACTCGGTGACTGGTGTTGCAGGACTCTGAGCCCTCGGTGTCAACCCCAGACTCCGGCCTCAGGTCCGCCCTCAGCATGGAGACCATAGTCAGCGACCTGGAGGAGCCCCGGGTCGTCCCTCGCTACCCCACTAGGCACAAGACCAGGGAGGACTTCCTGTGAGTTCGTATTCAGAAATACATGATGATGCGTAACTTAAAAACACCTTAATAGCCCACTAGTAAATAAACGGTATCAGCAATCTGACACAAAATACCTCCCATAAGCTTGTCCACAACCTTTATCATGGGTAAGCGGTGGTTTTATGGGAATATAACATAAGTTACAATAACTTTGGAACCGTAATGGGATCTGTACCATTTTGTTCAGCATTTAAAGGACTATAACATACTAAATTTAAATTTAAATCAAAATCGTTCGGGCCATTTTTTCGTTATTTTATGGGTTATATAGAAACATTGCCATTAAAAATTCAAATTTTGAAAAAAACCGCCTGGAGATACTATAGGTTAGTACCTACATAACAAATATCATCAAAATCGGACTACAGGTGGGGTCTGTAGCTTTGTACACATCCACGCATACACGAACAGACATCACTTCGAAAACGGATCCAGGGAGACCCAAAACGGATATATCCACTGAAAACTCAAACTCGAAAATTTTGACGAAAACTATACTTTCTCCGTATATTATGTATAGGGGAGAAAGTAACAAGAACTACACGGCGATATTATTCCCAAAAATAATACAAATTATCGTAACCAATGTTTACAACAACGATAATGGAAATCAAGTTATCTGTGAGGACGTTTGACACAATCTACAGAAAAAATTATATTTTTTAGAGCAATTTTAATTGTTACCGGGAAGTATTTTTAACATGTGTAAAATTGTGTAGGGCCTATGTTGTTTTTGCGTAGGAAAAAATCTAGACATTAAATAATACTCTACCGAATAATTATATTCATTTTATTTACGAACCAATTATCTACTTCGGACATTATTAATCAACTTCAATCAACAAAAGACTTTGGAAGACCTAATGGACCTATGCACCTAATGGCCCTTGGACACGTTTTCGATATTAACTTTTACCAAAATGCGATAAACTCATTTAGAAAATAAAAGTAGTTGAAACAAAATACAGTACTTGAATGGGTCAAATGATTATTTGCGTGATTTAGTTGATAATCAATATTGCTGACACAGTAAAGTTGTTGTGTCGACAAGACGACCTAGCAACCAGCGACCTTTCGACTCACTCACCACTACACCAGCACCTCACTTATAAATGATCAGTGAGTGCAGTTGTGTCTAGTAACCACAGAACAAAGGCCTAATCTATTTTTGTGCAGGGTCAACATAGAAAAATACTCATTTTAAGAATTTTCATGGAGGTTTTAACATGAGGCCGACAACCGTAACCAAGTTTAAAATCCCTTCTGACAGATTTAAATGTCCATACCCAGTAGTGGTTCCAAGGGGGGGGGGGTCCTTGTACTTGCGTTGGGAGTTGCATTTGGACCACGTCGACGAAGCCTCGTCCCCTACGACGGTCCCCTATGACCCCACCCTCCCCTATTCATTACCTTAGTCATTTTAATCTTCAATACGGGATTACATTTAATTTGGGATTTTCATGGTACGGAATTTGTTCCAACCATCAGTGATTACGTGACGTCAATCACGGGAGATCTTCACGATTTTGCCATGATCAAGGGAAATCTTCACAAAGTTCCACTAACTAGGTAAAACGATGATGTTGTCTACCGTTAACTTGGGATATATTTACGATTTTATTTCCACTACTATGATCTTAAATAACGTCATAAAGTAATAGCTATTTACATTACAAGTGTAGTAAGAGCGTTTTTACATCACGCAGGTGTTGCATAATTCACCTAAGTGATGTAAACACGCTCTTGCGTAACGTGTAACGTACAAGGTTTTACCTGACCCGACAATATACAGGGGGTTACGTACAATATTTTTCATTATCCATTTCACTCATCTTCTAACAGTAACGTTCTTTTACAAACAAAAGCTAGGTTAGGAAAATACTTTAAAGCATAACACAATAACATTCAAGCACACAGCTGATTTCTAGCGGTGAACGTCGTTGGCTCCATCCATAGAGGTATATTTTTTAAGTTAAGCACTCAATGTTATTTAAATGGGTTTCATTACCTCACCGAGTGAGATTTTTTAACTTTACGTCACTCGTGAAGTAAAGAAGATGTATACATCACGCTTGGGATAGGGAAGCTTAACATCACCATCAGACCACACCTGTAGTCCGATTTTGATGAAATTTTGTATGTAGCCACTAATCCATAGTATCTCCAGGCGTTTTTACATTTTTTTATTTCGATTTTTTAATGGTGATATCCCTATTAAAAACCCATAAAATAACGTAAAAATCTGATTTTCTTGAAAATGGCTCGAACAATTTTGATTAAAATTAGTACGTTATGGCCCTTTAAATTTTTAACAAAATGATACATATCCCATTATAAAGAATAATAATAATAACCTACCGGCATCATTAATTTATACATGCTCACGTGCCATTTCAGTCAGGATGTAAGGAGGGCCCATCACTCAGAGAACTACATTGGCATCCAACGCTTCTACATGCGTTGCTTTGACACATTTGCGGAGATTTGCGCACTTTTCAAGGTAATTTTGTAAGGCTAAGACATAAACCTGTGAGATGCATATCAAGTTTCATTTTAGTGACAAATGAATTGAATTACTGATGTAGCAAATAAAAAACAAACTAAACCAATAATTAATTGAACATACATAATAAAGGTTTTTATTGAAAATCAATGGCAAAACTATATTTTATAATTGGCCTTAATATTAATAACTAAGTTCTCAACTGCAATTATCATACTATGCCTGCTTGAATCTCAGCAGTACATTGAAACAAACAAGAAGTATAATATACAGTGTAGTTATACCTAAAAACGTGCAGCGCACCTCTGGTTGCCTAATGAAAGAATTCTCAGTGGTCAACTGTTTTTTTCTACCAACTTTTCCATCAGCATCAAAATCATTAAAATTGCAAGTTCCAAGAGGAATTCAATGCTGCCAATAAACCTCTACGTTACTATATGAATATGTGTCTCACTATTATTTTGTAATAGGTGGACAAAGATGAGGCTGGAGCTGGATTAGAAGACCCAAACTTGAAGATGGAATTCATTTATGCAGTTCATGATGCCATTCGGACATTTGTAAGCATTTGTACTAGGCCTTGGTAAAATATTAGTAAACTAAAAATGGGAAATTTCAACTCAATCAGCATCAGAAAGGGCGTTTTAGTGATTTTATATAAGGAATAAGCTGTTACCGTAGTACTCGTGGTAAAACCTAGACCCGGGAACGAGTTACTTTTTCATTTTTGAGGTCCCTAGACCCAAAAACCTCATCAGTTCAAATACATATACAGTATATTTCTATATGTGTCGGTTAGCACAATAATTTGAGCAAAAATGATCCGATTTTGATGAAATTTGGTATAAACGTGTAAACCTACATTACTTAGAACGAGTTTGCAAACTAGCATGATAGAACAACGGGAACGGGTGTTTATGGGGGGTTTTATGGGTTAAAATTGGGTTTTCCCATTTTGACCCTAAAAACATAAAATTTAGCAAATTCTTTCCAAACTATTTTGTAGAGCTTGAAGAAACAAATAATTTAGTATATTGAAGCCTAAGTATAACTAAGTGCCTAAGTCTACAATTATACTAGGGCATCCGGGACGCTAGCGGGGCATTAAATCAAGGCTATACCGGGTGTTCAAAAGTCCCGGTTCGGCTTCGTAATTTTTCAATGTTTAATATTGACCTAAAAAACTTAGAACATGTATCTCAAACACAACATACCGTACTATTTTAACATGTATTCGGCAGTGACCCCCTACCTCCTCAGGGGGACGGCCCACTAGAAGTCAGAAGAAAGTTTTAAATCTAAGCATAGGTTTATATGCACATCAAATTAAAGGTCTTAGTAGTAGTCTTACTAGTAGAATACAATGCCGCAAACTTGAATTCAACGGACAACCAAGTCAAAAATGGCAGCCGTTCAAAGATTTCTTGAATCTGCCATTTGAATCTTTGAACGGCTGCCATTTTATACTCATTTGTTCTTTTGAGCTCAAATTTGTGGAATTATATTCTTATAATAAAAACCTTTAATTTAATGTGCATATTGACCCATAGGTCAATACGTTTATGATTTTCTACCAACTTCTAGCGGGCACACCCCTGAGGAGGTAACGTATAATAGTAATGCAAATTTAATGCATCTTTAAATACCTGAAATTTTTTGCTCAGTTGTCCGCTTTGATATGGGTTTGCGGCATTGTGTTTTACTAACAAAGACCTTTAATTTGGTGAGCAACCTATGCTTACATTTAAAATTTTCTTCTGACTCCTAGTGGGCCATCCCCCTGAGGAGGTAGAGGGACACTGAATACGTGATAAAATAATATTTTGTGTTCAAGAAAAATTTTCTAAGTTTTATAGGTCAATATTTAAGATTTTTTTTATTACAAAGCCTATCCGAGAATTTTTAAACACCTTGGTACATGAATTTAAACAGATTTTGTTTTTGGCCTTAAGGGACCTCAAAACAAAAAAGTAAATCGTTCGCGGGTCCAGGTCTTACCATTAGTACTACAAACAGTCGGAGCTTATTCCCTATATAGGAAATTTGCTAACAAAACTAAAATTATAAAACTTTATTGAAAAACAAAGGAAGAGCTTCAGTCACAAAACCCTTGTGGAGGTTGTTGAAGTAGTATATTGATTTGTAAAACTTGTAAATTTTGTTGACCTTAATATTAATAGTGACTTCAGATGAGAAAAGACCTTTGACACTTACACATTATACATACACCCAAGGTCAGTGACAAGGTCATGTGGGTCTGAATTATAAATCATGTTTATGTTTGTTTCAGCCTTCGATTGTACACAAGACTGTACTGAAATCCATCATCAATGCTCTACTGGAGGAGAACAGGGTGTAAGCATAGATAAAACATACTCCCTTAGTAGATAAGTCATCCTAATGGAACAGCTGAAGCCAATTTTATTGTTAGTTCTGTACGTCCAACTATAGAGGTTATGTTTTGTTTACAATTTGTTTCTTGTTATTGCAGTCATTTAAAACCTCGTTTAACCTAATAAAACGATATAATCATAAACAATAACTGGTCTCCTAGTTATATAACCAAATAGTAAAGCACAAATCATGAAAATAACTCTAAAATAATAGAAACAAAATGTTGTCTACACTAGCGATCTGTGTGGACGTACATGAACTAGACACAAAAAACAAGCTTCAAAATTTACAATGGGATGAAGAGTTGCTTAGTCTATGGTGTAAGTCTTTCAATCTTACAACTTTCTTTACCTATATACCATAGATCTGTAAAAAACTATGAACAGTAATCCTTCCTTGTTATTATTTACTCTTTTAAGGCAAGCCATATAAGACTGGAACACTGGAGCAGCATAAAATAATAGTGGTATAATTAAACTTGGCTAACTCCCAGAGTATATACAGGGTGATCAACTCTAGGATTGGGATATCGGAAACGGTAAGAGTTAGAGAATACTTTCAATGGGGGACATTCCTTTATTTTTTGTGGCAATTAAAAATATGAATTCAGTTTTCTGAAATTCAAATGGCGGCCAACTTTGAAATTTCTTATAGAACACCCTATATTTCGGATTAGATCATGTTTTCGGATAGAACATGTAATTTAAAAACATTTTTAATTTTTGCATTTTTTTCATAAACTCACTCGTTTAGGAGTTACAGCCTATGAAAAAATGACTTCCGTTGTACATTTTGCATCGTGTAGCTCCTAAACGAGTAGGTTTATAGCGAAAATGCAAATGTAAATAAGTCTTAAAATTGCATCTACATTCCAAAACGACAATAAAATATCTAAAAAATATTGATTTTATTATTTCAAAAATGGCAGCCATTTTCCAAAATGGCAGCAAACTTGAACAAGCCAAAACTGTGTATTTTAAGGTTTTTTATGGTCTTTCTGGAATGTAGATGCAATTTTAAGACTTATTTACATTTGCATTTTCGCTATAAACCTACTCGTTTAGGAGCTACACAATGCAACATGTACACCGGAGTTTTTCATAGGCTGTAACTCCTAAACGAGTGGGTTTATGAAAAAAATGCAAGGAATAAAAAAGTTTTTAAATTGCATGTTCTATCCGAAAACATGATCAAATACAGGGTGTTCTATAAGAAATTTCAAAGTTGGCCACCATTTTGGAAAATGGCGACTGAATTTCAGAAAACTGAATTCATATTTTTAATTGCCACAAAAAATAAAGGAATGTCCCCCATTGAAAGTTTTCTCTAATTCTTACCGTTTCCGATATCCCAATGTTGGCCTCCTTGAGTTGATCACCCTGTATATGTTTTGTATACTTTTCCAATTTCGTCCCATTATTTTAAGAGATGCCCGAATATACATTGCCATTTTGACGAGTTACAGTTTATTGTTTATACTCCATAGCTCTGTCAATAATCAATTGATCTATTCAAATAAGAGTTTAAAAATATTGTGATCTGGTTATTCATATTTTATTTTATCATACAAATTAAATATTACTATATCATTGGATTATAACTTCTTTGAACATAAAGATTCAAAGGATAGTTTTGTAGAAAAAAATTGTTCCAAGTTAAAGATTGTTTTTTAGTTAGCTCTACTGGAAAATACTTATTTTACAGATTACATCCCAAGGATGATGTAAGAGCATTGTTTATTCTCATGCAGAATCCAGTATTTGCTGCCCAATCCTCCTACTCTATATTTGCCCATCTTCTGCGTCACATTGTTGAACTTCAGCTTACAGACCATCAACTTTTAGTCTCATGGTTTAAGCTGTAAGTCATTTAATATTATTCTAATACCTACTGATTTGAATCATAACTACTAATGAATGAGTACTGTAGCTCAATGTATTTTATATTTCTGCAGGCTTATGTTTTCAATGCAATTTTGTTGCTACCAAAGGTGAAGTCGTAAAAAGCCAGTGTGAGGTAGCTCACCATTGTCTAAGAACTGACTAACATTTAGGATTAATATATAGGCTAGGACTATTGGAAAAAGCAGAGTGGGAAGCCATTACCATGTGTTCCCACTCCATTGCAACACTGGTTGCTTCTATGTGCTTTTTAGTGTCAAATGCCATAAGTTTTAGTTTGTAACATAACTAAATTTTAATTATAGCCTACATGAATTTTCGACTGCTTTGAATGCTCAAATACAATAAAGCATACAATGACACTAAATTAAATGTACAACAGTTTTAGCGAATTTCCGTATATATAGCAATTACCGTAGATGGCACTATAAGACCTAGAGTCGGACCGATTAACGTTTTAATTTTGATGTCTTCTGAAGCCAAAAAAATATTCGTTAAAATTTGTATACATCTATAAAAATGTGAGTGTGTGTGTTTGATTAAATTTGGCATGTAGCTAAATCCACTTGAATTGAATTTGCAAAGCAGTAAGATCGGGTCATAGAAATGGCAATGTTTTGGGATATAAATATTTTTTATTTATTGTTTTTTTTAATTATTATTATTTTACCCTTAAAACATGAAAATGCCCAATTTTTATCATAGTCATTTTATAGAGCTTAGAAAAAAATTTTGTATATTTATGCATTGTTGAAGGATTAAAAGTTACCGTACTGAGAAAATTCTGCAAAAAAGTAGGCTATATGTAATTCTTATGGAGAAAAAGTCAACTGTTGTAGTTTGATTGTTATGGATATATGTTGATCAAATTTGGACAATTTATTTTTTTATACTATACTATTAATATTTTACAAAAAAACACCTTTTCGTTTTCTGTAGCAGGAAATCTAAGTAGGTACTCAATAAATCTATTGTTATTTAAATCGGGATTGACATGTTTAAGAAAATATTTTGGTAAAAATCGATCCAGGCAAATGGAAATGCACTAATCCACTTAGTCTGCAGGTTTGCTTGAGGTATTTCATGACATCAGAGACAATTAATCAATTCAATGTTAACCTCATTGATGCAATAATAGGTTGCATACCATCAATTTTGACAACACTCAAGCAATTAACATGACAATTAAGCTGACAAAGCAATACCTTCAATATTTCCTTGATTATGATGATGCAGGCAGAAACTGAATCAATCAGCAAATACCTTGAGCAGCAGACTTGCGTTGCTAGTTACCTTGTGCTGATAAAATGTTGAGGTACTTTATTGTGCTGTGCTCGGTGTTTCAAATAAATAACTCATTGCTTACATCTAACAAGGCTATCCACCTTAGATGTTTGTATTTAGAAGATAAGTTCAATTACGACAACCATCTTAGAGCTTTTTCATCAGAACCTTATATGTTTCTATTTTATAAGAATTTTAGCTTATGGAAACGCTTAGAAGTGAGGGTTCGTAGGAGTTCATGTAAAATACCCGAAGAAGTTGAACAGTCGTCTGAGATCAAATCTGCTAAATTTCTAACTCTTTTAGAGACTCTCATTAATAAAACTGAGATATATTTGAGTAAAGTAGGGAATTAAATAAATACAAAGCAAAGTCATCTATCAAAAGAAATTATTAGAATTGTTACCAAAAACCTCAATGAGTTAATTTTAATTTCAATACCCCAAATAATTGATGAAATGTTCGACTTTTTAAATCGCAAGCGTTTTCAAGATGTACCAAAAGATCACTCAGATTTTCTACAGTTACCATATTTGTTGAACCCACCTTCAGTAGTCCACCATGTCATGCTTAGAAACAGAAATGATGCATCGAAGGACATATTAGAAAAAGTTAAAATGAAGAAGAATCATTCCAGTAACAGATATGTCAATAGATCTTTAAACACTAGAAGAAAAGACTAATTATTGTCAGTAAGGATTGGAAAGAAACAGTTATGTTGTACAATAATAGAAGAAGCCTGTAATAAGCATGACACAAAATTACAAGTATACGAGTGATAGAGCACTCTTTAGTTTTTCTATTTGAAAATTTAAAGAAGACTCCAGAAGTATCCAGCTAATTAAGAAGTTTAATAAGATACACAACAGTTTACTTGTAGTTGTTTTTAAGTTTTAGAGGATATAAGTATTTAGTTGAATTGTATCTATTGTAGTTTCTGACCATTGTATAACCGGAAAGATAGCCAAAGCTACCTGAAACGTTTTTATAAGAATAGGGAGTGTGTAATGGTTTTTTGATTTTCAATTATTGTTCAGCAGAAATCCTATAAAACAATCTTTGCATGAAGCATAGGAGCTTTCAAAGAATTTGGTGGTAAATTCTCACTGCATACATTGTAGGACTTATCAATATTAGTTTGATATACTGTATTTAAAATAGTAAATACATTGTTTAAATCCTGTTATCCTGACATGTTTTCATTCCTAAATAAAAATATGTGATTGGTATTTTGTCTTATGTATCCATAATTCAATTGATTTATATTAGAATCTTTATATTTGTTTTGAGAATCGTCTTTAATTTAATTGGGAACAAAAAATTAGAAAAAAAGGTTTCCTCTGTATTTTAAAACCAATTATGAAAAATATTACTGAGCAACCTCAATAAATATATTCTGATTTACAGACGATGACTATCTACTTCATAGTATTTCTGAAGTAAAATTTTAAGTAATCGTTTTATATTTGCTTGGTTATAGTTTGAAAAGGGGTTTTCAATATTTCAATAAATGTTGACATACAGGTACCACTTTTATCAAAGATTATAGTTACTGGAACAACTACTGTATATCTACCTACGGTTGTAAATTTAACTTGTTACCATCATCCAATGTCTACGGTACCTACAGTTGTTCTAACTTGTTACCATCATCCAATGTCTACCTACAGTTGTTCTAACTTGTTACCATCATCCAATGTCTACCTACAGTAGTTCTAACTTTTTACTATCATCCAATAATTTCTGCAGCTATTAAACATTACTCCAATGACAATATGTAAAGCTTAAAGGTCAACACCTTTTATGAGAGCCAACCATCTGACAGAGACCCAATTCGATAACATCATCATTAGGCCAAAATTAAATTAAGATTGTTATAGGCTGGATTTTTAGTCAAATAAGACCTTTGGCAAGTTAAATAAATTTATTTTTTAAGTGTCTAAGTATTTTTTACATCAGCCCCCATGGTTATAATGCATTAATATGTGTGAAAAAAAGAGCTTAAGCAAACAAAGGTTTTGAAACAGTGCTATCTTTATACAAAATAATTTTTACTGACTTAGAATAAAAAAGTATTATGCATTTTATATACATTGTGAGGTTGAAAATAATGGTTTAAAAAAGCATGAGGAACAATAAAATATTATGTATTACTACAGTTTGTTAATTAAAAATTGACATCCATGCATACATTATAGCATTTTAATTTATTTACACATTTTATTATTTTGTGCCATACAAGTGTTGTTATGCTACGGTTTAAAAGATACTGAATCTCTTTTATCTACCACATACATAATTGCTTTTATAGAGTTTTATTAAGTTTCCTCATTTCATTTTGCAACTTATTCCAGCCAACTTTTAAGTCTTTCATTTCCTCTGTAAAAGGAGTATTAATTTTACCTTCCTCCGGAGTGACGATGAGATCCTTGGCGTAAGATTTCAGCTCATCTTGAAGCTGTTTAATTCTTCTTTGCTCCTCTTCAATACTCGACTTCAACTCCTCTATGTTCATTTTTGAGATAGAATCTTCATCAGTTTCGGTCGCGTGACTTCTTACATAGTAATCTGGATTAGTATTTGAGTTTTCTTTGTCATTGTTTGGGTTGATAGCTACATTAGGATCTGTGTTTAGCTGAAACTGTGCTTGTCCTCCAGTGTTTAAACTCTTAGCATCAACAGGGTACAAGTACTGACCTTGTGCAAACGGTAGGTACGAAGGTTCAACATAAAAGCTTCCTTGTGGATATGCCGCATATCCAGGTCCATAGATTGTCTGAGCATCTGGCATATAGAGTGATGTGTCTACAGGGCTACGCTCTGCATATTGTAGGTTAAATGGGGACAAGTAGGAATATCCACTTTGAGCATTGCTGGAGTAAGATGACGGGTGGCTGTAGAAATGTTTTTCAGACCCATGAAAAGGTTGAGATCCTATTTTGCCAAAGAAAATGTTTTTGCTGTAAAAAAATCCTTTTTCTTTTTTTCCTTCCTTCTTTATAGGAACAATGTGTGTTCCTGTTGCATGTGTTACAGGTTTTATTTTGATAGGATGATGAGTAACTTTGTGTACTTTCTCTGCATGTTTGTGTTTATGTGTGACTCCTCCAAGTCCAGCTCCTAGCCCAAGTCCTCCACCGCCAATACCTGCTCCACCAATACCTGCTCCTCCAATACCCCCTCCTCCAATACCTGCTCCACCAAAACCTCCAAGACCCGCTGTAGATCCTCCAATTGCATTTGTAAGAGCAGAAAGGAAATTAGGAAGTAAGTATTTTATTTGTATGATTGGATGAACCGCACCACCCCCTAAACCTCCTCCTAGTCCTCCTGCATGAACATGATGACCATGAACTCCCGCATGACCGTGAACTCCTGCATGACCATGAACTCCCCCCGCATGAGCATGAATACCTCCTTGTCTTATAGCTCCTCCTTCTGCTGAACCTGTTTTCTCGGTTCCATTTTTATCACTTCCTTCCTTATTATTTCCTGCTCCATCGATTTTTGTGTTGGCTTGTAAACCACCTTGAATATTATTAGCTAATTCAAATGTTCTAGCCGAGGGGTTGTATTGAGCTATGTAAGGATCACTATCATAATATGTTACTGGTAAAAGAGGAGAAAATTCTTTAAATGAATTCACAGTCAAGCGAGGTCCTTCACTTCCATACG